CCGTCCACGTGTCGAAACCCCAGGCAAAGCATAAAAAAGGAGAGGTAAAAAAAGCAATATGATGATCAAGAACTGGGCCCCTTTCTCTCTTTTCATGTATAAAAATGACAGGGCATCCAAAGAGGGTTTGGGGACATGGCCTCTGCAGATGTACGGCCCAAAGTCAAACCCTTTTCTCTTCCTTTATTTTGTCTTTGTGCTGAAACTGAAAATGTCCAAATTTGAATCATTTCCCAGCGGTATATAACAAATCTCAAAAAACAAAATAATGATAAAAGAACGAATTTTAAAGTTGAACCAACCAAACACTTGGTGATAACAAGTTTTTGTAGAATTAGTTAGCATGCAAGTTAGTTATGTAGAATCCTCATAAACATTTGATCAACACTTTATGAAAAATGAGTCATTGCGTAGGTAACAATGGACATACAATACACACCAAATAATTAATTACAATGAACACGAGGACTTGATTGGTTCGCACTCTTATCCCAAGAGGCTATTCTATGAGACGGATTCACTATGGGGGCGTTTGTTTTTTCTCTGCAGATCTGCGCGAGGTCTTCTGTCTGCGCGGCGCAGACCACGGGCAGATTTATAGGTTTGAAGTGCGTTTGTTTTTCTGAAGTGTGCAGACATGAAAACGTCTGCGCGAGGTCTTCACCACACAGACTTTGGCCAACCTCTTCTAAGGTGTGCGAAGTGAATTTAACCTAAAAAAACACGCCTCCTTTTTGTTTCCGCCTCCATCGTCAAAATGTCCCACCCCAACCAAAATTCCCAGCCGACGAAACGCTCCATCTTCAATCCATCATCCACCATCACCGGCGATTAGCACCGCCATCCTCTCGAATCAAAGGCGTTCAGGCGAGTTCTCCGACCAGCGACCTCCATTCCCAGCCATCAGCAAACACCCTCCGTTCCAAGCCATCAGCGAGCAACAACAGCCAACAACAACAACGAATAGCAACAGCAACAACGAATGGCAACAGGTTTGTTTCCTATCCTTTCTTTTTTTTTTTTCTTTTTTTGCAATTCAACCATGAAATTAACGATCAGTCTTGCTGGAAAACTCTATAATGCACTAAAATTATTGTTTTTTGATATTGGAAATCTGAAATATTGAAGAAAATATAGATTTTCTTGCTTCAAATTGTTGCTGAAAATTCTAGTGCTTCAAATTGTTGTTAATTGGTGTTAAATGTTGTTGAAAATTGTTTCAATTTGTTGTTTAATGTTGCTGAAATTGCTGTTAAAATATGTTGAATATGCTAAAAATTGTTTCATGTTGTTGAAATAGGAGGTTGGAAATCTTTTTTTGTTGTTATAGGAGGCTAAAAATACTTATTATTGTTTCAAATTGTTGTTAAATGTGCTTAAAATTATTGTTGAATATGCTTAAATTGTTATTGAATTTGTAGAAAATTGTTGTTTGGTTTTGGAAATATGAAATAATGATGTTACTTGTTGATTCGTTATTGTTATTTGGTTTTGAAATACTATTATTATTAAAATTTTGGTGTTGAAAAATCATTTTATGTTTGTAAAATAATTTTATTTAAAATTCAGTTTATTTCAGCAGCCTGCAGACGTTAAAAAACAAACAGTCTTCTTATTGCAGACTGCAGACGTTTGGTCCACCTCTTCTGCTGCAGAGACTTGCAGATGTGGTCCGCAGACTGCAGACGTTTTGGCTTCAGAAAAACAAACAACACCTATGTCTCGTTGGAACTCACTCTTGGTTTGGATTCACTAAAAGCTCTTACATGCAAAATCATCAACAATGAGAAATCATGTAGAAAATCAACAAATATTTATATCATTTGCATTTAATACGTTTAGGTTCTTCGCATCAGATGCGATAGATCTTCTTAATAGAATACAACGGATCATGCATAGTAATGTTGTATCTCCTAAATCTATGGATGAAGTCTTTAAAAGAATTAGCTTTACAATACAAAAAAGCTTAGCGGCACAGCTTGTTGTCCGTTTATCATCTCACTCGTTGTATCATAATAATTAAATTAATGAAATTGCTTATTTGGCACAAAAAAATCACTAAAAACTAGTCACTTAAACATGGGATACAAATTATGTGTAAGATGATAATGAACTGTCTTTAGAGACACTAAAACTAAAACGATGTTTGTCATTACATTTCAAAACTATTTTTTAGACTTTTGGCTTTCTCAAAAAGCCAAAAATTTTAAAAAAAAATGTTTGACAATTTCAAAAGTTCTTTTAAAATGATTTTTTAGTGAGGAGAAAAAAAACGCTTTTAATGATCTTTTTGATTTTTGACTTTTATCCCCTTAAAAGATAATTCAAACAATCACAAGTCAAAAAATCATTTTGTCAAACAACTTTTTACGTTTTTAGGTTAAAAAGCAATCCGAAACACCCCCTAACTTATATGTTGAGGGTAGATCTTTCTCTTCACCTAAAGCTTTAACAACACTTAAACAATATAAAAGATTTGTACAACCTACACAACATATTCAAGTTGAACTTGCTCTTTGATAAATCAAGTTGGTTTAAAACCAACAATCATGTATCAAGATTATATAATTGGAGGACTAAAATAGACCTTTTCCTTTCAAAGATTTGATCTCAAATAGTCAAATATCTACTTTTCTATCATTCCTGCTACAAAAATGGCTTAAATGTAGAGAGAATATCATGTAAAATGTTATGTGATGTCAAACCTCAAAGAGTCTTATATAAACTTGGTTAACCGAGTTCTTAATCCAGAATCTACCGAGATTTGTGAAATTAAATCTAAGGCTTGCATTTGATACTTGATGGTCTTATAAGTTCATAAATCACTTTGGTTGCACATCGATCCGGTTTCAATGAGTAAAACCTTCTACAAATTTAATTTCTTTTTACTTTTAATCACTGAACTTATTTTGTCTACTTTTAAGTAAATAAACTTTACATAATCGTTTTATTGTAGTCCTTTTAACCCGTATTTTAGGTAATAACTCGTAAATATAAAAAAAGTGTTATAAATAGCCAACAAACTATCTAATTTGTCTAATTTTAATCACTCAACACATTTTTATCCATTTTTAGATAAAATAATTCATTTTAACTTTTCAATCCTTTTCATTTTATAAAAACTTTTTATAATATGTAACTCTTTTTTTAAATTTAATCTCCTTCATAGTAATCATGTGATAAAATTGAAGAGATCAATTCAAGATATTTTACTTGAATATTCAAGATTCTGGATGGTATTAATCTTTTCCATCACTTTTAATTTATTTGTCCTATCAGTATCACATCGATTTTTTTTATCTTCTTTTATTTTCATTCATTTCATTCCACGACATATGGAAGCTTATATTTTTTATTTTCTTCCAACCAATCTAATTTTTTATTTTTAAATAAATACAAACTAATTAAAATCATACAAAATTAATTAACAAAAAATATTAAAATCAATAAAAACTAATCAGAAACATACAAAAATAATTCCGTACAAGTCTTAATGCATGATATACAAGTGACAAAGGCATGAGAGAGAGAGGAAGCATTTTACATATCCTATTATAGAAATAGGATTGTAAACGAACTGACCATTCAGTGAATAGTTCCTTAATCGTTCGGCGGAAAATTCGTTTATATTCGTTGATTTAATAAATAAACGAACATTAACATAAATTCATATTCGTTTGGTTAAACGAACGAACATGATGTTCTCACTCGTTTATTTCTGTTCGTGAACGTTCGTTTATATTCGTTCATTTAAGTTTATTTATATTTATATATGTTTAATTGTTTTTTATTACATTACTTTATCATATGTTTTTTATGTTTATATAGGTTCAATTGTATTTATTTATCTTTATTTGTTTATGTTCGTTCGTTTAGCATTTCACGAACATGAACAACATAGGAATGATATTCATAAAAGTAACGAAATAAAGGTACCGAAATTGTGTTCATAAAGGTACCGAAATTACAAGACACAATTAGAATTTTAATGAAAATTATGATTTGGATCACGTGTTTCTTTATCACCTTAACAAAATATTATTGGTGTTAATCAAAATCAGAAAAACTCAAATCGACGAATTTACTTCTTTGCATTTCATACAATTGAAGACCGAAGAATTCCTTCATTAATATTGTGATAACTAAGTTATAAAAAGTTCAATACTATGGATTTGCTGAAGACTAGGGTTTTCCAAATCTATCATTTCAAACTGAATGAAAATGAGTAAATGTAATGCTGCATTAACATATAGCATGTTTCTTCTCCATTTCATATCGAAGAAGATTGAAGAAACTATAGGTTGAAAATGAGTAAACGTAATGCTGCATCAACATATAGAATGTTTCTTCTCCATTTCATACCGAATAAATATCACCGCAAGGAAAATTAAAAAGCACAGACTGAAGAATGTAGGTCGACGATCAATTTAGCAGTTCTTCATCATCTAGGTTTACATCCATGCTGCTTCATTGTAAGATTGATGTTTCAACAAGAACCCTAAATCCTAAAGTGAAAACTATAATACTACAATGAATGAAGATCGAGAAACATTTCACTGACGCTTCTTCTCAATCATCTTGGTTTAATCAAAATTTCATCGACGTTTTTTTCAAGTTAAGGATCACAAACGATTAAAAAAATAAAAACATACGTAATTTCCTCATTGTCTCCGGTTTAATCCGTTAAAAATTAAATACATAGACCAAAAAAAACTTTAACAAATTATTAAGTCTGAATAAAAAACCAGGATTAATGAATCAATATATAACATTTGTCTATATTTAACACCAATTTTTAATTAAATTAGGGTTTTCAAAAAGAATTTTAAATTTTTAATAAACAGATATCATTATCTGAATTCGATCTAGTGAAAAGGGTTATGCCTAGAGCAAATAGGCCGCCAGCGACCTGCAGCTGAATGCTGATGCAATGCACAGTAAATCAAACTCATTTTACTATTTTATTTTAATAAAATATGCAAGGAATTTAATTATATTTCTCAATCATCACCACCGCCGCCGCCGTCACTGGCAGCGCCGCCGTTACTATCATCGGAATTCACATCTTCTACAACCAAAGTATTATTACTATTATTACAACATTCGCTTTCTGTCACACTCGATTCATGATCCGATGACGTTATGATACTTCGTCCTACGATCGGTAATGGTTCAGTCAGTGTCCGGCCATCTCGCGGCGGAGCGAACACCACAGGCATGTAATCCTCCGCCTCGCATGGAAACCTTGAGTTCTTGAAGTGCTCCTTCAATGCCTCCACGCCCTGAAAATCAATGTGCGAGTTGTGTTACTGTTTATTTAAAAGGAAGGATTGAGAAACTGATTTAAATCGAACCTGCAATCTAGCATATGAAACTTCGCAGATCTTCTTGGAGTTGAAAACCTCCCAGTTTTGATGGTGAAACGCCTTGTATAGCCTCCATGTTGCCTCCGGCGACGTCATGTTCACGAATCCATATCCCACATTGCATTTGTTCCTGCACCAATTTTTTTCCATCAGTTATACGATCTATGGTTACCTATTATAAATGAAAATTAATAAATTTGTAAATTAGGCGCATACATGAAATCAATAGGGAGGTAGACGAAGTCATAGGAGGATGGTGGCTGCTCTCCGCTGCTTCCACCATCGCCGCCGGTTATCTGCTCGTTGCAGTGAATGCAGTGGTTATCCAGCATATTTAGCAACAGTTTCTGACTGCACCCATATTCATGAATACAAAATTGAAATCTTCGCTTCCAGATAAATCATAAATGGACTCGAGAAAACAAATTAATAAAAGAAAGAATTAAACCTGTATTTATTAGGGATGTTCTTGATCATAACTGTAGTTCTTGAATCTGAAAAGCTTGATTCAGAAATAATCCCATCTTCCTTGATCAAAAACCTTGGATCATACTTCTCTCTCGTTTGTCGAGAACCCTTCCGTTGCTTGCTCCAAACACCACCGCCACTTGCTGATTGCTCCGGTAACTTCTTTCCTGTCTTCTTCAACGAACTACGATACCAGTCCACGACGTTACCGTTTCCACCAAGCTCGCTCATGCCTTTCGAACTCCTTGAGTTATTATGCGATGATGCCGGTGGCGATGGTGGCGGAGGTGGAGGACGATAAGCAGCCGACTCAGCTGGGAATTTACGTGCAAGGATGATCGGCTGTGGTCGAGGGGAGGTAATGGGGTTTAATCGGAAGTGTTTGGGACTGTTTTTGTGACCACCGGGACGGCTGAACTCGACGACCACCGTCTTGCCGTCGATTTCTTTGCCGTTCATTTTCATAAGGGCCTTGGCTGCATCCCTGGTGTCGTAGAACTCCACAAACCTCTGGTTCTTCTTCGATGGCGTCCCTCTAATTTCCTTCACGCTTCCTTTAAATTTCATAAACCAAAAAAAGTCAAAATAATTTGATTCGTGTAGAAATAAAAGCTAATCGATGTGTCGAACGAAGAACAAGAAAATGCCAAAAGTTAGAACAAAAATATCAACATCATCAAGATTGATCTCAAATTGACTAGGAAAGCGACCTATCACAACAATATCACGAAATTATGTCGTCCCAAGAAACTGGAATTGATTATACATACATGATAAATCACATAATTAATTTTTTATTTTAGTTTATTAGATTACCATAAGCTTCGAAAATTTCCTTGAGTGTTCCGGCGGCGATATCGGGGTCCAAGTTAAAAATAACGATTGTGCCTTGGTTATATCCATCAGGGAGTCCGGCGGAGACAGGGAAAGTGAACTGTGCCCAGACGGCGCGACCAGCGATGAGTCCAGGCGCCGGCGGAGGGAGTGGAGGACATAAAAAAGTGTTACGATGGTATTCATACGACGGAGCCGAATTGTTAAACGTGAGTGCATCGAAGTGTTTCCGTAGACGACACTGTTGTTGCATGTGTTGCTCCTGAATCTCGTGAAGCGCTTCCGTGGATTGTCGGAGGTCGTAAAAATGAACGGTGACGACCCCGTCTCTAACTTTCTCCATTTGTACGGCTCTGACGTCTCCAAACACCTCCAGTTCTCGCCTGACAATCGACTCGCTCACATCGGCAGGGACGGAGCTAAGGAGGAGCGTACGCGTTGGGGTGATTGATGGTGGTGGGAGTGTTGGAGCGAGAGACGGTGGCTTTGGTGAAACGTAAACGGGCGGCGGCAGTGGCGGAAGAGGAAGTGGAGCGCTGTAGAAGTTGTAAGGGTATGGGTATGAGTAGTATGTATGAGGTGGAGGTAAAGACAAAGGGTATGTCGGTCGGAATTCTTGAGCAGTTGGGTCTAAGGTGACCGGAAAACGATCAAAACGAGTGTCTTCCATGGCAGGTTGTGTCCAGACGCCGGAACGTGGAAAGACGGAGGAAGGTGAAAAAGAGTGTCTTGCGAAGATGAATTCAGTACCCCATAGCTGTTTGATTCTCTCTCTAGATTGGAGTTCCTAGGGTTTATGCGATAACTGTGCGTGAGTGTGTCTGTGTGTATTAGTAGGTCTGGTTCTCTAGAAAGGAACAAAAGGGAGGTTTGAGTTTTTCCATATGCATTATATAAGTGGAAATGTTTCTCCAAAAGTATAAAGTAGTCAAGCCTTTGTTTAATAACAACAAACAAATAAACTTTAGACTAACTTACATGTTTGGGCTCTTAGGTTTGATGTTTATAACATCTTTGGTTTTTAGAGTAACTTACATTAATGGCCCCTTAGGTTTGATGTTAATATTATCTTTGGTACAGATATCGGGAATGGTACCAGTTTTCGATACTAGTACCGGTACCGATGGTACCGAATCACGAATATCATGATTTTGGAGTACCAAGTATCATCCTATATTTTTAAATTCGGTACGTTTTGGTACCGTTATTGGTATGGGATCGGAATTTGGTACAAACTGTTCATCTCTATCTCAAACTAAATTATATGGTTTGTTCTCTATTTCTTCATATTTTTTGGTTGTTACCGTCACTAACTCTCATGAACTATGAACATGAGTGTAACACCCCAAAATAAAGCCAAAATTTTATTTTTCAAATTCATAAGGTTTACAAAAAAAAAAAAAAAAAAAAAAAGTTTCAAAAATCACAATCATATATCAAAGTATGTCAAAATCATAAAATCATATAAAAGTTCAGGATGATGTGCACGAACAGACATTCGCCTTGTTCCTGTCCTTTGAAGTACCTGAAACCTTAGAATCAAATTTTAAGTCAAAGCTTGGTGACCCCCACCCCCTCTAAAAAAAGTCTCACACAATAAAACATATACAAACATGCATGATGGGTCTATAGTCATCAATTAGATTGCTCTTGGGTCCACAATCATCGGACTGGATTACCCTGTCATCGACCCAATCAGTCATCGGACTAGAATGCCTTGGTTTATTGACTTATACACATAACAGTAAAGCCTCAACCCAGATCGCATTATGTCGGCATATGCAACAAATAAAACATATAACCGCAAACAAATTATCATGCAGATCTAACAGATCACTACAACATACCAATATCTTATATACTAGGATACATAACTTAATGGGTCGGTATTGGTGCTTTCGACCCACAAGTATAACGAGGAAAACTCAATTCACAGTCTGAAAATTAATTGAACATATCACTTATCCAATTATTGCCTCTACAGATCACTTATACAAATAATAAGGACCTAATCTCTAATTATTATTTAAATTTCCCAAAATGCCCTTAAGTCAAACTTTGTGAAGTCTATGGTCAAAGGTCAAAAGTCAAAAGTCAAAATATCAACCAGACTGAGTACGTCATGCGTACTCCGTCTCTCTGCATGGCGTAGAGAATTCCACCCCAGATTACGGGACTCCATCATGACGTACTCCGTCTCTCTGCATGGCGTAGAGAATTCCACCCCAGATTACGGGACTCCATCCCAGCACGTGTTGTGTACTACTAGGTACACCCTGCATACATGATCATACCCTACTTTCCTCATTAACTGCATATTCCTTTAAGCCCTTACATCCAAGTCTCCTATCTAACCCCAAATAACCTCTTAAGTCATAAAGTTTCCAACTTTATGACTTTGCATGACTAGAAAGTCTCCAAATATAAAATCCCTAACATATCATAAGATTTTAAGCCCCAATACTCATGCATAGATGAAAGGAAAAGTATCAAGATCACATTTTTATGACTCCATGCACTTCAAAACATCTGAAAACGCTACTCATAAGGCCTGTAGTATCTCATACTCAACTAGACCAATATTATGGGACCAAAATACACAAAACTTAAGAACTAACAAGGTCTAGTGAAGCATTCATCAAGTTTAGAACTTTATACCTTCTAAAGGTTGCTTGAGAGGTGCAAATCTTAAATCTACAATGCTTAAAGTTTTCCAAGTGCACTCCAATGATCTTCTTCCTTTAAAGAATAACACAAAACATTTCAAAAGCTCAGAAACTCTCAAATGAATATTAGGGTTTGCAAGGGGTCATTTGGGAGGATGTAAATTAGGCTCAAAACCCCGGATTTAGGGTTTACATATATGCCAAGTACACCATGCATACCCACTAAGTACACCCTACATATCCATTGAGTACGCCCGACGTATTCATAAACACCTGTGTCATTCATTAAGGGCTTATGCCCTGCGTACGACCCAAGTACGCAAGGCGTAAGGACCGTTTTTGCAATAACTAAATACTTTATGTTAAGAATGGTAATACATGATTGGCTAGGTGTTACAATTCTACCTCGCTTGAATTAGACTTCACCCTTGGAGTTCGATGTTGCAAATAAATCTAGGTCATGCTCCTGCATCTTTGCCTCAGGTTCCCTAGTCCATTCGAAACCCTTTTGATGTTGTCGTTGAACCTTGACCAATGGTACCACCTTGTTGCACAAGGCCTTTGTCTTCCTATCCAAGATAGCCATTGGTCTCTCAACATAGTTCAGACGCTCATCAACATGTATATCGTCCAAAGGAACCACTTCTTAATCATCAACTACATAGTTTCGTAGTTGAGAAACATGTAAGGTGTTGTGAATCTAACTAAGATCCCCAAGTACGTTCAAACAATACACCAATTTTCCTACCCTATCCATCACTCAAAATGTTGGTGATTTGTTATCAACAATGGCACTTAAGTGTAATATGATTAATTTGTTGACCAAAAATGATCTTGATATTTAACAAGTAAGGGAGGTGTGGAGTGCACACGTGTTTAAGTTTGATCCAGTTTTCAAAGTACATTTTCGTTTATAGGAGAAGCCCCTGAACAAATAGGGGTTTGGGGGCAGTGACCCTAGGAGCAGGGTCCAAGGGACTGAGCCCTTAGTTGGGGTCGAGCTGCCAGGTCAGCACGAAATTTTTTATAGAGGTTTTTGTTGCTATATTAAAAATGCATCAGACATCCGGTTTTTCAGAGAATTAACCCTTGGTTTTACCCCTCATCCAAATACCCATTTTTTATGTCAATTTTTGGTAGTTTTATGATAGTATGAAACTGTCATATGACAGTTTTTTAGACAGAGACCATAAATCAATTTTTGGTCACATTTTCTGGTACATTCGAAATCCATAACAATCACATTCTATGTTCTTACTCTCATATTTTGAATCTTATCCGATTAAAGATTATGAGTACTACCCAAATACTTAATCTGAAAGTGATATCACAATTCTCAGAATTTCCAAACCTTTCTATACCCCAAATTTCTAACAAAGATTAAAGTATTTTTGTGATCATGTCATGTGGTGATTCTGTGAAGGACATGACAAGCAAGTTTGATAAGTTGGTGAAGTTTGAAGGCCAAGAATTTTGTAGATGGCAGAAGAAGATGAAGTTCCTCTTAACCACTATGAAGGTGGTGAATGTTCTGAGTACACTCATGCAAGAACTTGTTGAAGATGAAACTTTGGAGGCAACAAGGAGGTGATAAAAGTGGGAGAATGATAACTACATATGTCGTGGTAATATTCCCAATGGTATGTTTGACTCTCTTTTTGATATCTATCAAAATGGTGAATTTGCAAAAGATCTATGGGAATCTCTTGAATCTAAGTACATAGTTGAAGATGCTTCTAGAAAGAATTTTATGGTTGGTAATTTTATGGGTTAAAATATGGTCGACTCCAGGTCTTTCTCTTGAATAAAAGTACATAAATGAAGATGCTTATAGTAAGAAGTTTCTGGTTGGTAACCATATGGGTTATAAGATGGTTGACTCTACCTCTTAAAATTTCCAAGCCTTTTTATTCCCTAAATTTCTAACATGAAACGGGATGATAAATTGAGGCCCCAACTTGTGTGACAACTGGCAAATTTGAGTCGAGCAAAATCTAAAATGTATTATGTATAAGTAATATCACATAGTAATGTTTTTGCAATAAATCATTTATAGCCAAAAGGCATCATTTGTATAAGTATTTATATATGTTGAAACCCATCTTTGTAAATGAAACTTTGAGAGCCAATCATATTAAAACAAGTCAACATAAGTCAAAAGATTAAAACCACAAAAACTTTGGGATTTCGGTTGGCACAAGACCGAAATCACATGTGATTTCAGTTGAACCAAGACCGAAATCACCATATTGATTTCGGTTTGTGCCAAGACCAAATTACAAAGTGATTTCAGTTGGTGTTGGCCGAAATCACCTTTGATTTTGGTTAAATCTTGTCCGAAATCTCATGGATAATTGTATATTTTGTGCCACTTGATTGGTGGATTATTTTCCCAATGTGATAATTACACATACCAATGTAAATGTCACTTCATTACCTCTTATCCTCTTATATAAACATGAATAAGGACTCCTGCAACATATTCACAGTTAACATATTTCACAAATTCTCTCAAGATCAAATTCCTAACATCTTCCAATCTTCATACACTCTCCATATTCATCATCAAACTTCCCCAGAAAGCTACACCTTAAGTTGACTCTTAAGAAGCATTGTAAGTTTCCTTGTTTAATTAAGTGTTTTTATTAACACTTTCACCTTAAGTTGACTCTCAAGATCAAATTCCTAACATCTTCCAATCTTCATACACTCTCCATATTCATCATCAAACTTCCCCAGAAAGCTACACCTTAAGTTGACTCTTAAGAAGCATTGTAAGTTTCCTTGTTTAATTAAGTGTTTTTATTAACACTTTCATGTTAGTTCAACTAACTTACACACATTATTATGATTTAAAAACTATTAGGTTTTAAGTGCTATAACTTGAATATCATCACCCTTACTTCGTTATCAAACTACAAACGCACATAAGGTGACTTCATACCCTTACATTTTTCAAGATTTTTTCTATGTTTTAGGTGGGGAATAAAGTAACACAAAAGAA